CAAAGAGAATAGAAGCATCAGGGAGAAGAGAGAGGTGAAGGTTTATAAACTAAAAGAGGAGGCAGTTAGGGAAAGATATAAACAGCTATTGGAGGATAGATGGGCTAATGAAGCATAGGCAATGGGGTCGAAGAGGTATGGGGTAGGTTTAAAAATGTAGTGTTAGAGTGTTCAGCAGAAGTTTGTGGTTACAGGAAAGTGGGTGCAGGAGGGAAGAGGAGCGATTGGTGGAATGATGATGTAAAGAGAGTAGTAAGGGAGAAAAAGTTAGCATATGAGAAGTTTTTACAAAGTAGAAGTGATGCAAGGAGGGAAGAGTATATGGAGAAAAAGAGAGAGGTTAAGAGAGTGGTGAAGCAATGTAAAAAGAGAGCAAATGAGAGAGTGGGTGAGATGTTATCAACAAATTTTGTTGAAAATAAGAAAAAGTTTTGGAGTGAGATTAACAAGTTAAGGAAGCCTAGAGAACAAATGGATTTGTCAGTTAAAAATAGGAGAGGAGAGTTATTAAATGGAGAGTTAGAGGTATTGGGAAGATGGAGGGAATATTTTGAGGAATTGTTAAATGTTGATGAAGATAGGGAAGCTGTGATTTCGTGTATAGGGCAAGGAGGAATAACATCTTGTAGGAGTGAGGAAGAGCCAGTTGTGAGTATGGGGGAAGTTCGTGAGGCAGTAGGTAAAATGAAAGGGGTAAGGCAGCCGGGATTGATGGGATAAAGATAGAAATGTTAAAAGCAGGTGGGGATATAGTTTTGGAGTGGTTGGTGCAATTATTTAATAAATGTATGGAAGAGGGTAAGGTACCTAGGGATTGGCAAAGAGCATGCATAGTTCCTTTGTATAAAGGCAAAGGGGACAAAAGAGAGTGCAAAAATTATAGGGGATAAGTCTGCTGAGTATACCTGGTAAAGTGTATGGTAGAGTTATTATTGAAAGAATTAAGAGTAAGACGGAGAATAGGATAGCAGATGAACAAGGAGGCTTTAGGAAAGGTAGGGGGTGTGTGGACCAGGTGTTTACAGTGAAACATATAAGTGAACAGTATTTAGATAAGGCTAAAGAGGTCTTTGTGGCATTTATGGATTTGGAAAAGGCGTATGACAGGGTGGATAGGGGGGCAATGTGGCAGATGTTGCAGGTGTATAGTGTAGGAGGTAGGTTACTGAAAGCAGTGAAGAGTTTTTACGAGGATAGTGAGGCTCAAGTTAGAGTATGTAGGAAAGAGGGAAATTATTTCCCAGTAAAAGTAGGCCTTAGACAAGGATGTGTGATGTCACCGTGGTTGTTTAATATATTTATAGATGGGGTTGTAAGAGAAGTAAATGCGAGGGTCTTGACAAGAGGCGTGGAGTTAAAAGATAAAGAATCACACATAAAGTGGGAGTTGTCACAGTTGCTCTTTGCTGATGACACTGTGCTCTTGGGAGATACTGAAGAGAAGTTGCAGAGATTGGTGGATGAATTTGGTAGGGTGTGCAAAAGAAGAAAATTAAAAGTGAATACAGGAAAGAGTAAGGTTATGAGGATAACAAAAATATTAGGTGATGAAAGATTGGATATCAGATTGGAGGGAGAGAGTATGGAGGAGGTGAATGTATTCAGATATTTGGGAGTGGACGTGTCAGCGGATGGGTCTATGAAGGATGAGGTGAATCATAGAATTGATGAGGGGAAAAGGGTGAGTGGAGGAGTCTGTGGAGACAAAGAACTTTGTCCTTGGAGGCAAAGAGGGGAATGTATGAGAGTATAGTTTTACCAACGCTCTTATATGGGTGTGAAGCATGGGTGATGAATGTTGCAGCGAGGAGAAGGCTGGAGGCAGTGGAGATGTCATGTCTGAGGGCAATGTATGGTGTGAATATAATGCAGAGAATTCGTAGTTTGGAAGTTAGGAGGAGGTGCGGGATTACCAAAACTGTTGTCCAGAGGGCTGAGGAAGGGTTGTTGAGGTGGTTCGGACATGTAGAGAGAATGGAGCGAAACAGAATGACTTCAAGAGTGTATCAGTCTGTAGTGGAAGGAAGGCGGGGTAGGGGTCGGCCTAGGAAAGGTTGGAGGGAGGGGGTAAAGGAGGTTTTTGTGTGCGAGGGGCTTGGACTTCCAGCAGGCGTGCGTGAGCGTGTTTGATAGGAGTGAATGGAGACGAATGGTTTTTAATACTTGACGTGCTGTTGGAGTGTAAGCAAAGTAACATTTATGAAGGGGTTCAGGGAAACCGGCAGGCCGGACTTGAGTCCTGGAAATGGGAAGTACAGTGCCTGCATTCTGAAGGAGGGGTGTTAATGTTGCAGTTTAAAAACTGTAGTGTAAAGCACCCTTCTGGCAAGACAGTGATGGAGTGAATGATGGTGAAAGTTTTTCTTTTTCGGGCCACCCTGCCTTGGTGGGAATCGGCCAGTGTGATAATAAAAAATAAAAAAGAGTTCTCTTTTATCATCCCAGATTGCATCAACATATGTGAATTAGATTTAAATATCCTGGAGCTTCTCAAAGGACAGGCAGGAAGTGATGCAGTGTGCATTATCTTTTTGGATTGCTTCTCTAAGGTATATAGTGAAAATAATAAATAACCAAACTTTATCATGCATGTCTGTTGCTGTACTTCTGAATTTTTCTGAGTGCAAACATTTAAGCCATATTTTAATAATTTTTTTGTTATGTGAACTCTATTGACCAAAAACTTATATTAATGGAATACAGTACTAACACGGAGATGAGTAAGACGCGTGTAACAGTTAAAGAATAAAAAGTCTAACTATTGTGCCTGGAACAATACACAAATAACCTGCATTATTATTATAATCAAAAAGAAGCACTAAGCCACAAGGACTATACAGCCAAATAACCTGCCGTTAGAAGAGGGATAGTTATAATGACTTTTTGGCCTACTTGGACCACTGCAATCACATTGAAGGAGAAGGAAAAAAAGGGGTGCCTTGTTAGTGGTCCAAGTGGCCCAAAACATATCAAAATTTTACCCTCTCCAAAACAGCAGGTTATTTGGTATGTAAAATTGTTGCCCCTGGTATTAAGTCATTTTTTGCATTTCAATGAGGAACCTGCTGAGCAGGCAAAGCATCTCGCAGTAAAAGATAAAAGTTGCTTTTTTACTCATCTACTAAGATACTCTTAATGCTTTTCTTATCAATTTACAATTGAAAAGAAATGTTTTCTCTGTTTTGGGTGCTGTGAACAAAAATCTAACAATGTTACCTCATCTCACAGTCTTAGAAAAGTTTCAGTAGTTTTCCTTAATTAAATTTAGTTCCTAACTTTTTTAAATGAATTTCCTACTAATTACTGGTATGTACACCACCATAGCCATTACTAAAGATATCTCAATTTTTATACAGTAAAAAAAAATTTTGGGTTATGTTTACATTTAAAAAAAAAATATTGATTTTTAATATAGTGTTTTTATGATTTGGTAATATTTTGCATTATTGTGTTTTAAAATTTTTAATATAATAATAGTTAAAAAATTAATAATTTCCCCAAGAATGTATATTTTTAAAAAACTTTAAAGACCGCAGGCATGCGTGAGCGTTTTGTAAGGGTGAATGGGACAAGGGTTTTTTAAAATACTTGCCCGTCTGTTGGAGTGTGAGCAAAGTAACATTTATAAAGGGTTCCCAGGAAACCGGCAGGCTGGACTTGGTCCTGAGATGGAAAAGTACCAGTGCCTGCACTCTGAAGGAGGGGGTTAATGTTTGCAGTTTAAAACTGTAGTGTAAAAGCACCCTTCTGGCCAAGACCGTGATGGAGTGAATCTGGTTGAAAGTTTTTCTTTTCGGGCACCCCCCTTTGGGGGAATCGGCAGTCTGTATAAAAAAAAAAATAAAATAAATATTAATTATTTTTTTTCATCATTTCATTTTCTTTTTCAACTGTAGCACCAATGAAACCCAAGTTTATCCAGGAGAAATATCGGAGTGAGAAGCACTTTGGCCACATGTGGTGCCATTGGGTTACAAAAGAAAAAAAAGCCAATGAGTGTCTCTAAAAGAAAGATTAGTTAAATGATTGACAAAAATTGCACTGCCCAGTTTTATGAATGTTGAATTCCCATATTATTTTGGCCACTTTTAAGTTATAAAGACTTTGTAGGGGCCTTTCCTGAATAATAAGGTTTTTTATAGTCATGGAGTAGGGCAAAATCTTATGGGTTATTAGTGCTTGAGAATGGGCAGAAAATTAGGTTTGTTCCAGGAACAGAGAGGGTAGCTTCAATTTTGATGGGGCCCCCCCCCACCAGCATTCAAGCAATCCCCCTTTAAATGGGGTCTACTACATTTGTGAAAGTTCCCCAAAAGCTAAGTCTTTTACCTGTAGTGCGCCTTCCCCTACTGAAAAGGTCCTGGTTTAAATTTCTTGGCAGAGCAAGATGGGGTGGTAAATTATTTTTTTTTCTTCCACTACAGTTATAACAGCTGGTTTATGTTGCAAATCACACGTTCACAGGCAGTAGCACTAAAGAAGAAAGTCTCAAGCACCACTTACAAACTGTGACACTGTGCAACTCTTGTTTTACAATAGGGCATAGATTTAAGGGGGAAAAAAATTTCCCATGTTATTGTAAAAGCATAAGGAAAACATGGAGCCTCAGGGTCAGCCATAAGAAAAACTAATGAGGGAATCATTTAATCATTATCAAACTAAACATTTCCTGCCAGGGACCTGGTTCGCAAAATGAAACAACAGAATGATCCCTTGTGATTAGTAAACCTTACTACCATACATCTACCTTGACAACACCCTTTGGGCTTTCTGTAATCCCCTTATTTTGTGGCTGTCTTATTCCTTAAGGTTAGACCTTTTCCCCAAAAGTTAGGATAAGTAACATACTATTCATTATTATAAGCAGTACAGTATTTTGTATGAGTTTTTTATCAAAGAATGAATTCTTATTATTGCTATTAAAGAATTATCTAAGCCATTTGAGTTAATATTTTTTATATTGCACTGTAAAAGAATTGAATTTAATTGAGGTTTTATACATGAAAAATTTAATGAATGATATTTGCATCCCAAGATTGAGGGATAAAGGTGAAAAATCCCCAAAGGACTTTTTGGCTTATGGTGAAGTGGAGCACTTGAACAAGAGTTTGCGGTCAGCGCTATGTGAAACAGCAGATACTTTAGCAGCTATTCAGGACTACAGGTACACTAATCCCTAATGTTACTGCTGTGTTTGACTGAATATGTAAATAGGCAGGCAAGTGCTCAGGCAAATTTGGTTGATTTAATTTCAGTCATTCATGTACCGTATTGTATTTAACAGATATTCCTTATATGTACATACAGTGGACCCCCGGTTTACGATCAGCTCCCAATGCGACCAATTATGTAAGTTTATTTATGTAAGTGCGTTTGTACGTGTATGTTTGGGGGTCTGAAATGGACTAATCTAATTCACAATATTCCTTATGGGAACAAATTCGTTCAGTAATGGCACCTGAACATACTTCTGGAATGAAATAATATCGCAAACCGGGGGTCCACTGTATAAATTTCTCACTTATATCAATGTAGTGAAATACGATTCCATTATTTGTGTAATTCCACAAGTAAACCAGCATAATAACTTCTTAGTCTTCAAATATGTGTTCTCTGAAAATATATTTCAATGCATTTTTTGCATTTTTAAGCTCACTTTTGTACTACCAGAAATGTAGAAGTAGAAAGACTTGAGAGCAGAGTTGTGGGAGAGATTGCATTGTATGGAGGCATATGCAAGACTGCCAGAGAGGAGCTGAAGCAAAGCTTTAGTACACGTCAGCAGGAAATCAGTCATCGACAAAATTTGGAAAAAACCAAAAGTCGCTACCCACAAAACAGGCAGCAAATTGTAAGTACCTATTAGTCACTATTTGTTTTCCACTAACAGTATTAAACAGTAGCAACAGCAAAAGCGAACACTTTAATGTTCAGTGAATATAAGGGGGAGTGATTGTTTTAAATAAAATTGCAACTATGTCATCATATTGAACAGACCCAAAGCTAATATAAAACACAAATTTTAAGTTTAAATAATGTTTATGTGTATAGACATTGATGAAGTAACTCATACCATATTAAACAATATTATGGCTAATAGACATTTTTGTAAGCTATCATTTGGGCTTCAGATATAAAATCAGCATAGGTGAATGAGTAAAGATAACCTGCAGTACATACAGGTTTAATACAAGGGTGCAGAATCTGCAGCCTTTAGGCTGCATGCACTGTTTTGTGACCACCCAGTGCAGCATTTTTGAGGTTCTAATTTCTGGATTTTAAGTAGCAACTGTAAATGTAAATTATTATTATAATAAAAAAGAAGTGCTAAACCACAATGGCTATACAGCACTGAGACTGTAAAATGTAAAGGAATGTAACATTTTGCTTGAAAAGTCTTTTAAGATTCTTTGTTTATTTGTAATGTTTAATTTTTGTAATGTAAAAGAATGCACCTTTTTCTAGAAGTTATTTACTTATAATTACATCTTTTTCTTTTGTTTGCTTATGCATTATGGGGAAATGCAATTTTGCTTTTATGTTACATATACATTGTATAATTTTCTCCATGGGGAACTGAAACAGAATTCTTCCTCCATAAGCCATGCATGTCATAAGAGGTGACTACAATGCCTAGAGCAAAGGGCTAGTAACCCCTTCTCCTGTATATATTACTAAATTTAAAAGAGAAGCTTTCGTTTTTCTTTTCGGGCCGCCCCGCCTCTGTGGGATACGGCTGGTGCGTTGAAAAATGGAGGGGTGTTAATGTTGCAGTTTAAAAACTGTAGTGTAAAGCACCCTTCTGGCAAGACAGTGATGGAGTGAATGATGGTGAAAGTTTTTCTTTTTCGGGCCACCCTGCCTTGGTGGGAATCGGCCAGTGTGATAAAAAAAAAAAAAAAAAAAAAATTTTCCCCTTTTGGGGGGGCAGTTTCTTCCTAAAAAGGGGTTTTTTTGGGGAAAAAAAAACTTTTTGGGGGACCTTCCCCCTTTTTAAAATTTCCCTAAATTTAAAAAAAGTGTTTTTTTTTTTTAAATCCCCCGTGAGTGGGGGGGGGGGGGGGGGGGGAAAAAATTTAAAAAGGGTTTGGGGGGGGGGGGGGGGTTTTGGGGGGGGGTTTTGGGGGGGGGGGGGTTTTTTTGGGGTTTTTTTTTTTTGTGGGGGGTGAAATGTTCATGGAAAAAAATTTGTTGGCAAAAAAAAATGTGTAGGATACTTGTAAATTATTTTTTTATGTTGTTTTGGTAATTTTGCGGGGACAAAGTTTCAGAAAAGGTACTGTAAAAGGGAAAGCGACCCTTGTGAGAACATTAAAAGAAAAAATGGACCTTTTTTGAGCAGAAAAAAAAGTGGCTGACCTAAAGAGGGTGCTAAAAAAGGAATTTGTTCAGGTAGGATCTGCATTCCAGGAAAAAATACACCTCTCCTACTTAGAGAGTCCCCGTTTACCGAGGGGCTCAGACTTATGATGGCTCTCTGCCCATTATGCCACCTAAAAAAATTTTTATTTAGAGCTGATCTCCTCTAAAATTTTCTTTTTTTTTAAATATACAGTACACCAAGTTATAAACATTTAAAAAAATACCAGAAATGATTAAATGGTGAAAAAAGGTGACTTTAAAAAAAAACAATTCAAAAGATGGTTGAAAAAAACCCCTACCATTATATTTTTGCTTTCTCACTTAGGGGACAGTTTTTTTTTTGACGTGGTCTTAGGAAACGGAGCTCCATCGTTAACGGGTTATTATTTTATAAAAAAGGGGGGAAGCGTAAACCGGGGGTTTTATACGGGCGCCTGGGGGGGATGGGAAGGCATTCAGGTTAATTCGGGGAACTGGGCACAGATCCAATTCCCAAAAATCAAGAGCCCCCCCCCAAAAACATAAGGAATTTTCCTTTGGGGGGTTTTAAGCGGGAGAGGCTGTATATTGTAATTTTTTTTTTTTTTTAATTTTTTCGAGTTGGTATTTTTTCTTTACACTTTTAAAAAACTTTCCTAACTCTTGTGAAAATGCCCCCAAAAAAAGTACAAAGACCCCTTTGAAAGAGGCCTCTGACTAATTTTTGTGGGCAGAATATAGGAAAAAAACAAAGACAGTGGACCCTCGAGTTTGGGGCAGCCTCGACTTTCATGAAATTGACCTTTGGCAAAATTTTTTGGGCCAAAATTTGGCCTCGAGTTTCTATTAGATTGTGCTTCGGCGCCGTCCGGTACCCTTCCGCCCGTCACCATGCACACCAAGCCAGTCTCCCACGCCCTTCACGCTCAGGTTTTTCCCCTTGTTTTTCCAACAGTGACCATTTTTCCCCCCCGGGGGTTTATACATTTCATAATAAATCCATTGGTTTTTTTTTGCTTTTCAACTGCTAAAAAAAATCATCATGGGCCCAAAAAAGTGTGCAACCCCCTTTTGGTAAAAAAAAAAGTGAGAAACAATCCAGAGGGATTTTGAAAGGGTTTGAGGCGACCCCGTCCCCCGCGCCCCCCTGCCCGTTTGTGGAAGGGGTTGTGGCATTGGGGGAAGTCCATGGGGTTGGAGGCGAGTGAGGGGATGTGGAAGGGGGTTGGGGGGGCCACAGGGGAAAAAGCTAACCCCCTGACGAACTGCAAGAGCTTCAAATGGAAAAAAGCATCAGACCAAGCCCCAGGAACTTTCTTCAGAGGGGGAAAAAAAGAGAGTTGAAGGAGGGTTCCTTTTTTCATGATTAAGGACATGTGGGAATGTGGAATGGGTTCCCAAAAGTTTTGTTGAAAAAATATCCCCTGACCAAGGGGGATTATTATTATATAACAAGGGGGAAAACGCTAAACCCCCGAGGATTATACAGCGCCGGGGGGGGGTGTGGAAAGGCATTCGGCTTTAAATTTTTGGGGAACTGGAGCCAAAATCCAATTCCCTAAATCAAAAGCCCCTCACCAAAAATCAAGGGAACCTTTTCCCTTGAGGGGTTTGACCAAGCTGAAACAACCATTCTGCAAAAAATTACAATTTACAGTTTGGGTTTTCACTTCAGGGAAAAACTTGAAAAAAAACGCCAAAAAAAAGACCTTCCGGACAGATATTTTGTGTGACAGGGGTCCGTGACTCTCAAGTTGTTCCCAGTGGCATTAAAAGAAGAAGGGAAGTAACCCAGATAAGGACTTGCTACCTAAGGTCCTAATGGAAGGAGATTCTCCTTCCAAACAGTAGTGTACACCTTCCTCCTATCCCCTCCTCCCGTCTTCCATCCATCCAGAAGTCTTCAGTAAAGGCAAGTGTAATATTATTATTATTTTTTATGTGCATGTACTTGATTTCTCATTGATTTCAGTATATAAATCTTCATTTAATTTGAAAAAAATATTTTGTTTTAATATTTTTGGGTGTCTGGAACGGATTAATTTTATTTCCATTATTTCTTATGGGTAAAATGGTTTTGAGTTCCGTGAATTTCGACTTTTGGCAGGCTCTCTGGAATGGATTAATCACGAAACTCGGGGGTCCACTGTACTACAATTATATTAACCAATATGCATTTTGCTATATTATTAGTATTGTATTCTAGTTTTGATAAACTTTTTCCTTCATGGGAAAGCCTTGATGCTGTTAAAGAGATCTTAATCCAAAGAAATGGAGTTACTCTCCAGTTCCTTGAATCAAACGTGATTATCCTCCACCCTTCCCAATGACCTATAGAGGTTTAGTGCTTCCAGCAAATATATACAGCCTCTCCTCACTTAGCAATGTGTACTTGTTTACCGACGACTTGGACTTATGACAAGCTTTGTGACCAGCATGCATACCAGAATAATGTACAGGAGGGCCCCGCTTTACGGCGTTCCGCTTTACGGCGTTCCGCTAATACGGACATTTCAAATTATGACCAAAACTCACTATACGGCTCCCCCCACCTGACTTTCTAATACGGTCACCGTGCCCCACCCTGTTTGTTTACATTCTCCATGAGCTCAGTAAGCACTAAGTCTCTCCATTTTGTCTGGAAACTCCAAAATTTCAAATTTTTTTTTAAAAGTTATTTCATATTTTATATATACTTGATAATTATACTTTTGTATACCTGTACCTAAATAAACTTACATACATCGATCATTTAAATGTCGTATATTACGTTAAAAAACACATTTTCATTAATCCATCCATGATATTTTTTTCAAAATTATATAATAAACACGATGCATAACTTTAAAAAATAAGATAATACACCCCACAGTAGAATAAAAAAACAAATGTGAGATGTGAGCAACGACTTGCACAAGTGGTGATAATAAAAAATACTGAGTCTCTTTTTAAATGTCGAAATTAACGGTAATATACACATTTTCATTATCCTCCATGATATTTTTTTCAAAATTATATAATAAACACGATGCATAACATATAAATAAGATAAATACACCCCACAGTGAATAAATAACAAATGTGAAAATGTCGAAAGCAGACGACTTGCACAAGTGGTGATAATAACAATCCCGAGTCTCATTAAATGTCGTATATTACGGTAATATACACATTTTCATTAATCCATCCATGATATTTTTTCAAAATTATATAATAAACACATACAAAAACATAAAAGATGATAAATACACCCCACAATAGAATAAAAAAAATAAATATAAGATTGGGAGCCACAAAACTTGTACAAGTGACGCCAAGAATAACATTTTCTCTAATCTAACATAAGGTAAATGTGTTACTGGGGGTAACTGTAGAAAATTATTCCTTTCGTATGTATGTAAGTAAGTTTTTTCAGTATACACAAATACAGTTACATTAGATTATCATACATAAAAAAACTACGTGTAGAGAAACCCAGGATAAACCAAAAAAAGTCAGTGTGACTTATTTCCATTGCCTTCACTCGAAACTTCATTTCTTCTCAAAATGATGTTTCATGAGAATGGGGAGTGTTTTTCTTTATTAATTCTAACCGTATCAATGTAGAGACAACCTGTACACAAAGTAACTTGTACACAAACCAGACGTGTACACTTCGTTTGTTTACAAAACTTACCTTCGCCTGGGTTTGTTTACATAACTGCGCCTGCCCCCTCTCATGTATTAATTCTTTCTCTCTCTCATTTATTCGTTTTATCTCATTTACCCTTTCTCCTGACCCTACATTAAGACTACAAATATTTTAAGGTAAGTAATGAGTGAACGGGATATACATTTTATCGCTCTGGGATGCTTAAATTCATAGAATAGTATGTGTGGGTGGGGTGGCCTGGTGAGGCAAATTTCAATACATACCACACTTGATTTCTTACAATAAATACTACTTGTCTCACCCTAGATTAAGACTATAAATATTTTAAGGTAAGTAATGAGTGCACTATGTGTGTATTGTACCTTTTTATTGTTTTTTGATGCCTGGTTCTATTGCTAACTTAATATATGTTAGTGTAAACTTGTTATCTAGTGTTTGTATGCATTTATAAGTGGAAAAAAAGGGTGTTCCACTTTACGGCGATTTCCGCTTTACGGCGGTAGCCTGGAACCTAACCCGCCGTATAAGTGGGGCCCTACTGTATATTAGAACTGATTTCACTATTCTGTTTATTACAACATACAGTACACTACTGTATAAACATTTAAAAATATACTAAAAATGTTATAAATGGTGCAAAGGTGACACTAATACTATATCAAAGATAATTGGCACAAACTCACTACCATTATAGTATGCTCCTTGCTCAGTGACGAATTCATTTACCAACATGGCCTTAGGAATGGAACTCCGTCGTTAAGTGAGGAGAGGCTGTATATGTATTTTTAATCTCCATGGGGAAATGGAAAAGAATTCTTCCTCTGTAAGCCATGCGTATCGTAAGAGGTGACTAAGATGCCAGGAGCAAGGGGCTAGTAACCCCTTCTGTATAAATTACAAAATTTAAAAAGAAAACTTCCATTTTTTCTTTTATGTCACCCTAAAAAGAAAAACTTTACCTTTTTTTTTTTTAACAAGCCGGCTGTATCCCACCAAAGCAGGGTGGCCCAAAAAGAAAAACAAAAGTTTTTCTTTTTAACTTAAGTAATGTACACAGAAGGGGTTACTAGCCCCTTGCTCCCAGCATTTTAGTCACCTCTTACGACACACATGGCTTACGGAGGAAGAATTCTGAATTCTGTTCCACTTCCCCATGGAGATTTTTCTTTTTAGGGTGACCTAAAAATGAAAAGCTTTCGTCTTTGTAGGTCATCCTGCCTTGGTGGGATACAGCTGGTTCATTGGAAAAAATATATACATTTTTAACACCAGCCATTTCCCATGAAGGTAGGGTGATCTGAAAAAAGAAGTAATACTTTCACCATCATTCAATCACTGTCTTGTTATTCTTATTAGATTCATAAGTCTTAGAGATATTTAAATTATTATTATTATAATCAAAAAGATGCGCTAAGCCACAAAGGCTATACAGCAGAGATATTTAAAAAAAAAGTGTGTTGCTGTAGGTGCTTGATCAGCCAGGTTTTAATCACTATATAGACATATGGGCTGGTAGCAACAACAGTCTAGTTGACCAGGCAGTTTTTTATTTTATTAATGGGTGGAGTGCTAAATGATGAACGAGAGGCAATCATATTCGATACAAGGAAATTGAAAAAAAAACACGGAACAGGTGGTGTTGTAAACCATGGGTTCAAAACTCCACCCATTCCATGGTCTCCTTGCAGTCATGTTATTATGATTCCATTAGTCATGGAAATTGAAGATGGCTTGAATTCCTTGGATCAAAAGCCCTTTGCTAGCATCACGGCACCTCCCACGAGGAGTGACCAGGCAGTTAACAGGGATGTTTAGTCTCTGGCCTGGCTGTGATGGTAGAACTAGTTGCAGGTGCATGACAGGCTTATTTTGTACTCTTTACATTCTTCTACATAACTTACTAATAGAAGGAAAGAGGGTAGTTGGTAATGGCAGTTGTGGTAGATAGAGAAGAGTTTCTTATCATGATAGTAATGAGGGATGAATCTGTAACCAACAGATTTTGCCCATTGTTTCCTAATTGACTAATCCACTGGACTTTGTTCTGCATTTATGAAGTCTGTTATAAGATGCTCCATTGTATATAGGGTTTAATTGTAATTGTTGTCATAATTGTGACACTGAATTGTGATATCTGTGCACTTCTGCCAAAATAGCTATTGAATGAACATTGGTGAATGTGTTACCTTGTTTGGAGCACCCTACCTTGATGGGAAAGGACTGATGTAAAAAAATATAAACACTGAAATGTAAATTAGTCATTGGTGTGTTTGGCACATTCAGTTTAATATAATATTCTGTTGTGTATGCCAGGACTGATTACAGTCGTACATAAAGTTTCTTACTGCAGTGGAGATTATTTTTTTTTGCAGCTGAGTGGGAATTGGTAGAGCCACATGTGTCACATAAGTATACTTTATTCAACAGACTGAATTGGCCTTCCATGCCAAGGCATTGGAGCTCTATACCAAAGCTTACACTCACATCGCCAACATTGAAGAGGAGGAGGATCTCGAGGTAAGTAAATACAGTACAACCCCTGTATCCGTAAGTGATATGTTCCAAGGACCTGTCGTGGATACCAAAACCGTGGATAATAGCAAACCCTATATATAAGTCTTATACATACTGTTTATAAAATTTAATTGATGAATTATGCATAATAAGTGGAGAATTATCACTTTTTCACTGATAGGAAGCACTTCATGGTTTATTTTTAGGCTTTGAAGAACTGCCAGCTGTTTTACTTTTGTGCTTTGAGGCCATTATTATGCAAAATTAAGAGATATTTTTGGGCCATCCTGCCTCGGTGGGATATGGCCAGTTTGATGAAAGAATAATAATAATACTGTAATATCAATTTTAAAAATATAATACATTTGTTAAAAAACTGAGAGAAAAGTGGTTGAATAAGACTTTTTTTTTTTTATTATTATTATTGGCTCTGATGAATTACAATGGCAATCACTCTTATCCCTAAATTACCAATTTCTGATTGTCATACAACATTTTCACTTGGCATGCCTCCTTGTGTCTATCCATCCCTTAAGTCAGCAAGAGCTGTCACACTGTTCAGAGCTACACTCTTCCACCAGAAACCATTCAGATAAGTATAGTATCCCCTCCTCCCTCTGCTAATTGCCTAGTATGAATCAGCTTTGAACATTGATTGTCATGTGAATTCAGCCTGGGAAAATTCCTAGAGCTTGCTCCTCCTCTCAAGTCAAACTGGGATTCATAACCTTCACAGATATGGAGGCTTAACTTGTATATGTATGGTTAACATTGATTTAATGAGAAATGGAAATACGGGATAAAATCTACCAAGTCATTCAGTTTGGAAGCAACAGATGAAGTCCATTGGTTACAGAATTCCCCATAATGTTACAACCACAGCAAAATAATCTTGTCTCCATCCAACATAGTCACCATTACTAACCACCTGTTTCTCCCTATTAGTCTGTTAATTCATAGGTTTGCTATTTAGAAGAGAACAGCTAAACTAACTACATGCATTTAATTTTTTTCATACCATAAAATTGTTTTTGTGTACTGCATCAAAAATTTGGAAGTTTTGTAAAATTACTAGTCATAGTGCATTCATTTAGTTATGCAGGACAGTAATATGTATTTAAAAATATTTTCTATTGATTTTTGACGTATCAGTGGCTCATTACTTTGTAATTTGTTCATGACTGTAACCATGTATAGGAGTGAGGCTGATTCATTACCTTTGTAACTTGCCATGATTGTGACCAAATCTACCTGGAGTTCATTACCTTTGTAACTAGTTCAGCTATCATAACTTTGGGGTCCATCCCTGGACCCATTATGTACCTTTGTAATCTTTTGACTACTGCCCACAGGATGGGTATGGGGTGCATAATAAAGATATTAAACTAAAAACTTGATTTTATCAGAAATATTTAGGGCTGGGCTGAACAGGTCGTGCATTTGTTTCATGTCTAAATTCTGATTGATTATGATAGTTATACATTTATAAAAAGTTACTTAAAAGCTTTTTTCCTGTTGTAACACAAATTTTCATGCATGGCTATCCAGTAGATCGTATATACTTTAGTACAGTATAAATTTTTCCACAGAATTGGTCAGTAACTTGGGTGACTATTATATTTCCAAATTCTTGTCTTAAAAGCAGCACTAAATAAAGGCTGTTCAATTTATGGAATTATAAACTACACTTTCTGGTTGTATACGGCTTTTTAAAATACAGTACTATTAATTTTTGTAATTTCTATGTAGCAAAGATAACAATAATTAGTAAAACTATATTTCTTTAGGCTTTTAACTTTATCTCCGTACAGATGAACAAATGTACTAAATGTTGATTTCTAACCACAGGCATTTCGTAATGCAAGGGATGTCTTCGATGTGGTAATTTTGCATTATCTTTGTCCTCATCTGCATTTTAATCATTTAGTGCAATTTTGTTTTGTTGAATACACATTTATGTTTGTTGGTGGTAATACCCATGCTTTTTCACACTGGTTGATAGTGAGGCACCTTGCTTCTTTCTGATGCATTCTTTTGTAATTAGGGTGATGTGCATATTCACATTTATTTTAAATAGTGACTAATTTTCATGTTATGTTATTAATGGTAGTACTGCACAATTTTTATGTATGCACAATTTTTATATTTGCACAATTATTTTATGTTGCAGTTTTTTTTAACTGTAATATTGGAACACCTCTGGCAAGACAGTGATGAAGTGAGTGAGGATGAAAGTGTTTTTTTTTCTTATTCAGGTCACCCTGCCTTGGTGGAAAACTGCTCAGTTTGCTTTCTATCTGTTTCTTCTTCTCTCTTGAATGGATCTGTATATTTATTAATAAATTTTTTTTTGTGCATGTCACCTTATGTGTTGCTGGTGTAATATGCTTGTATCACTCTTGTTAACATGCATTTTTGGTCATGGGCAAAGTGTTTATTGCTTTTTCTTAATGAGCACTTCTCTTGTAGGCTTAAACATTTATACATATAGTATCAAAACCCTTGTGGTTGAGAAGCTTCTAAATTATAGAAACATGATACAGTATACAGTACCGTACACTTGCTTGCCACCATAACTTAAATCAAAACACCAGATAGGTTGTGATCAGTATAACTGGGATGCTCTGGGGTTTGAGCAGCTATAATGTGTGCATCCTGATAACTCCCAAGTCATTTTACTTTTGGTTTTTACAGAAACACTATTATGGGAAATATAAAACATTACATTAAATGTACAGTATTATTATTTCCATGGGGAAGCATCATCCCAGCTGGTGCTGGGCAGGAATGCATTGCTAATTTGGTGACTGTGCACCACAATAATAGAGCTAGAATGATAAAAGCAAATTATTATTATTATAATCAAAAAGAAGCGCTAAGCCACAAGGAACATAAGGAGATAAAAGCAAAGGCTGCTGAACTGAACACAATAGCATATGTAAGACTGTGCCAGGGCTAAAAGTGTCAAATATTAGGTAGAGAAACACTGGCATATTCAAGGTGGCCCCATTTTTTTACAGGACCCAACAACAGAAATACTTTTATTAGCAAAATTATAAGATTAATACACAATAGGTATTTTTTCAAATTCGGCTCAAAAGCATTTTTGCCGCTTTTCTGACATGACTAAATCATCTTTGTTTCAGGAGTTTCGTAATGCTTTAAAAGGGAATGCTGCAGCTAGAGCTGAGGTTGTTGGAGCTGGCCAGGGCTCGTCACTTTCTCCTGTCATCACTTCCTCACGAGAGAAGAAACAGTCGCATAAAAAGGTAATGTTTCAGTGTACCACATTATGCTATAAGGTTTATGTGCAATGCTACAAGACTGTTTGATGATTACTACCTATAATGAAATCTATTTACTTAGAAGTATGGGTAAATCTTTCATGTGAAGAGGCCAGAATATGTTCGAACTGTAGAATTTTTTAAGTTTTACATTAAAAAAGTATTTTTTGCTTGCACTGAGGAACAGATGAGAAATTTTTTGAGAATCAGGAAAATACACATGTATCAAAATTGAAAAAAAAAAAAAAAAGTGAATATGCTGAATGGAAACATTGTATGCAATGAAAATAGTTTAGCAATATACAAGATTATTATTATAATCAAAAAGAAGCGCTAAGCCACAAGGGCTATACAGCGCTGCCGCAATATACAAGAGCTTTTACTTGGATGAAGATCATTCATTTTCAGTTGCTCCATTTATGACAGCTGCCCACCTGAGTTGAAAAAAAATTGTCATTAGTACCATAATTGCCAGCAGTGAGTTGTTTCTATTATTATTACAGTCTCATACTTTAAATGTAATAGATCCCATACCTTCTACCCCACACATAGTAATCCTTCAAGAACAACAACTAACTCATCTACTAGATTGGTATCCTAGGAAAATAATGTAGCTATAACTTTTTTTTTCTCATCCTCATTGGCCAACTTCCAAGGTAAGGTGACCCCTCCCCCTAACAAAAAAAAAAAAAAAAACATTCACCATCTTCATTCAGTCACTGTCTTGCCAGAAGTGTGCTGACATCACAGTTCAGGTGACCCCTTTGAGCTGTGACATCCCCTCCTCCAGAGTGCAGGCACACCCCTATCCACCTCCAGGACTCATGTCCAGATAACTGATTCTCATGAATCATTTCATAAATGTAATATTACTCACCAACAGTACATCTGTGAACAGTGTTTTGTCATATCTTTATTATAAGAAACACTTATAATTAATATATTCCTTACAGCGAGACATGAAGAAATCCCTGGAGAAGCTGCAAGTTGAGGATTATGAAGAAATCAATGAAAGCAGCTCAAGTGAAGCAGGTTGATGAGAGCTACATGTTGAATATTTACAATTACACTTTTAACACATTACAGGATGAATATCAGCAATGAAGCATTCTTATTGTAAAAATGAATTGCAAATTTAATACTGACAGTGAAAATACAATTACAAAGTCAAATCCAGAAATTCATCATAACTATGCATATTTTATGTATATGTATTCCATTAAAATTTAGTACAGTACAGTACAATGAAATTTGGAAGTTATCCAGCTAAGACAAGGCTCGTCACTCAGTGCTAATAATTTTTTTACCTCTGCCTATCGTAATCATGAAAAAGAGGCCTACAGAGGGAGAGAAAGAGAGAGAGAGAGGAAACTGATGCATGTAGTTCCACTATATAAGTCTGTATGTTCACCCATTCAATATGTTCAGTACCTCTATGTATAGCACTGTCACATTATATTTATGGTTAAGTGTTAAACCCCTTAATAGTGAGTGTGATTAAACTTGAGTTTGAGTGTGAGTAGGTTGGGAGGTAAGGAAAGATAGCAGAGCAATCATGTTTTTATTCAAGACATTCAAGGGTTTGTACAATGGGAAGTGTATACAGTTTGTATCTTAGTGTGTTTACTGCACAAGGAAAACTTAGGAATTAAAATATCTTTGATGTTAGAGCTTAAGGAAATGGTAGCCTTATAATGACCCCCTCATGTTCATATGCTTTAATCCTAACACATCAACAAAAGCCTTTATGAACTAGTAACCTGTTTATGACAAGCATTTAGAAGTGATTAATTAGGCAAGGTACACTTATACAACAGAAGTTCATTCTTTTCTATTTTATTAATTTTAAAATAAATTACTTAAAGAAGAAAAGTAACTAAACACATTAAATGAAATTAGCAATAAGTAATATTAGGTCATAAAATATAAAACATATTTCATACCAAAGAACCAACAGCCTGCTCCCTCCTTTTCCCTAATATTTTAATTAAATAAATGTCTAAAATCTGAGATATTAAATCGCAAATTCAAGAATTGCCCGTCCATAAAAACTTTCCCCTGATTTCTCTCTCTTTTTCATTTAAAAGTTTTTAAAAATTAGGAACTCTTTAAAAATTAAATTAGATAATTAACTGGACGCACACTAATGAATTAAACGCTGTACTCTGCCTTGGTAGGGCATCAATTACTCAGTTCACTAAACTTGACATTATACCTTTCTGTATTTATTCTCACAAAACTGGGATACCTAAATTATTATTAAATTCACAAATAAGCACAAAATCTGAATTAGTCATGCTGAATTCAAAGAGAGTTAGACTTGAAAATTTATAACTATGTACTTTATTGACTGCTTAATTTTCCACATATTTTTATGGCAACTTACAATGTGTATAATTTATGTGCTTATTAAATAGGGTAATATTTTTAGTAAAAAATGGATGACATATCACAGTACTGTGTAACTGTTATAGTAGAAAACTGTACTCAAACATCAAGCTTTAACTTTTTATCAGAGATAATTTATCCGTCCATTTTTATACTGTATGTCAATGTTTTGTAAATGTGAGTTTTCTGATGTTTAAGGATTTAAATGCTGACTATGATGGATGAAAAGCTACACTAAAACACAGTATATAATTTGTGATTTATAATACAACATTTGAACTTGAACACCGTTTTTGACTGTTGCACAAACCTTTTTAGTTGACTAATGATGTTTATGTTGGTTAGATTCTTGGAGATGCTATGAATCTTGAAGCAGTGGATAATACAGAATTTGTACAAGCTTTTAGTATTGGAAATTTTTCTACTTTATATTTCACATGTACAATAACTATATTCCAAAAATCTTGTTCATTTGTTATATCTCTTTAAATAATGCCTTAATTTGCATAATATTGACTTTCATAAGAAAATGAATAGAAAGTAAATTTATTTGGGTGTAGGAAATCCAGTGAGCTAATCTGAATTCAAATGCTAGACTTAATGTTTCAATTTAGGGGTTGCTCACCAAGCAAAGGAAAATACATACCATGAAAATATTGATGATAACTGAAGCCGTCCATGGAATGATCTTCAATGAAAGCTCTGCATAATTAATTTGTGAATTATGAAGCATGCAAATTTCTTGGTTTGAAGAAGATTTTATTCAGATTAGTTAATAACCCATGATAAATCAAGAGAGTTAAGCAGTATGGCTTTATTTTCATTAGGGCCTGTGTGGTTCTCACCCAAGGGCAATCCACAACTGACTAACTCAAGTACAGTATCTATGTTATTTAGCAATGGGCAGGAGGAGTTAGATTTGCTCATTTATGTATCCTACCTCTAAGGGTTAACAATGATTCTTAACCTTGTGAGCCAAACCTGTTACTGTTACATAGATCTTCAAAGAATTTTAATTTTAAATACTTCAGTATTATAAATACTTATTGGCACTGTTCACCCCTCAAGGAAGGTTCCTTGATGTTGGTGAGGGGCTCTTGATTTAGGGAATTGGATCTGTGCTCCAGTTCCCCAAATTAAGCCTGAATGCCTTCCACATCCCCCCCCCCCCAGGCGCTGTATAATCCTCTGGGTTTAGCGCTTCCCCCTTGATTATAATAATAATAATGGCACTGTTTCAATTTTTTTTCCATCTGCACTGCTCACCAATGCTGGTAATGATACATAATAATTTATTCACTTTATTAATGTCAGTGAAATATTACACAAAATAAATAAATATAGGCTAAATGAAAAATGCAGTCAAGTATATTGTACAATGTACAGATAAACATGCAGTGTGGAAAGTGCAGAAGGCTCAAGAATTCTAGTAACTAGTATATTAATGGGAAGCATTAAACACACAAATGTCATACAGCCCTGGGATGGGGAGGTAGTCAGATTTGATCCAAGAAAAGTGAGGGGGAATAGTTCCCATTCTATCAAGAGCCTTTCCCATGCATCATGGTACCCCCTTTCAAAAGCCTAGAACAGTGGTTCTCAAATGGGGGTATGATAAGATGTAAGAGGTCTTGTATACCTGGAGAGGGTTTAAGGGGTCAATGCCCCCACAGCCCAGTCTGTGACCAGGCCTCATGATGGATCAGGGCCTGATCAACCAGGCTGTTACAAGCAGATACTGTATTATATTTAAAGAGAATAATATTCAGTATACTGAGGGAATGGGGAATGGGGCCATGGGTAAGAAGTGCAAGCAAAAAAGATTGGGAACCATTAGTCTAAAACTTAAAAGCTTGCTTAAGCCCCCAAATTATGGATGAATCCTACATAAAATTTTGCTAACATTTTTTTTTTTTCAACAAGTCGGGCGTCTCCCACCGAGGCAGGGTGACCCAAAAAAGAAAGAAAATCCCCAAAAAGAAAATACTTTCATCATCATTCAACACTTTCACCACACTCGCACATTATCACTGTTTTTGCAGAGGTGCTCAGAATACACAGTTTAGAAGCATACACATATAAAGATACACAACATATCCCTCCAAACTGCCAATATCCCAAACCCCTCCTTTAAAGTGCAGGCATTGTACTTCCCATTTCCAGGACTCAAGTCCGACTATATGAAAATAACCGGTTTCCCTGAATCCCTTCACTAAATATTACCCTTCTCACACTTCAACAGATCGTCAGGTCCCAAGTACCATTCGTCTCCATTCACTCCTATCTAACACGCTCACTCACGCTTGCTGGAAGTTCAAGCCCCTTGCCCACAAAACCTCCTTTACCCCCTCTCTCCAACCCTTTCGAGGACGACCCCTACCTCGCCTTCCTTCCCCTATAGATTTATATGCTTTCCATGTCATTCTACTTTGATCCATTCTCTCTAAATGACCAAACAACCTCAACAACCCCTCTTCTGCCCTCTGACTAATACTTTTATTAACTCCACACCTTTTCCTAATTTCCACAATCCGAATTTTCTGCATAATATTTACACCACACATTGCCCTTAAACAGGACATCTCCACTGCCTCCAACCGTCTCCTCGCTGCTGCATTTACCACCCAAGCTTCACACCCATATAAGAGTGTTGGTACTACTATACTTTCATACATTCCCTTCTTTGCCTCCATAGATAACGTTTTTTGACTCCACATATACCTCAACGCACCACTCACCTTTTTTCCCTCATCAATTCTATGATTAACCTCATCCTTCATAAATCCATCCGCCGACATGTCAACTCCCAAGTATCTGAAAACATTCACTTCTTCCATACTCCTCCTCCCCAATTTGATATCCAATTTTTCTTTATCTAAATCATTTGATACCCTCATCACCTTACTCTTTTCTATGTTCACTTTCAACTTTCTACCTTTACACACATTCCCAAACTCATCCACTAACCTTTGCAATTTTTCTTTAGAATCTCCCATAAGCACAGTATCATCAGCAAAAAGTAACTGTGTCAATTGCTATTATTATCACATATTATTATTATGCTGTTATTACTGCTACTATTGCTACCATCACTGCTGCTGTGTGAAGAAAAAGTTCAATAGATAGGAGAAGCGAGGGAGTATATAGTAACAATAGTTTGATTGCTGGCTATTTGTTAAGGTAGGGTAAGTCTAGCTCCCGCTATCCCCCCCCCCTTTTTCCCCCCACCCCGAAAGCGATAGTTTGATTGCCGGCTGCTTGTTAAGGTAGGGTCAGTCTAGCTCCCGCTATCCCTTCCCCCCCCCCCCCCCCGAAAGGTGACGTGTGGGGCTCCGGCCAAACGGTAATCACTCGACTCGCAGCTCCCAGCACTACTGTAAGTACATGCCTGCTCATATTCTAGTGGACTTATTGGTTGAAAGCTTCACTTTTGACCAATAATAAACTTAGTCCTTTCAGTCTTGCTCTATGTTAAATGTCTTAATAATCACCACGTCTTTTAGGTATTGTACTTATCATGGAGAGTGATTTCTTAAGCAGTGGGTAACCTGTCTCTTTCCAGCTTGGAATGACAGAATGGGTCACCTGCCAACCAACGAGTAGAATTGAAGGAGACGGACTAACGTCCTGAGACGTCCCATGTTTTATCTACTTACCTGTGCACATGTATGAAGTTGCAGGACGTAACCCCTCATCATTGCAGCGGTAAAGAACCTGCTTTCCTGTCATCTGGATAGATTATTTACGGCTATAGACTCTGAAGAACGAGCCGGTGGGTTGTCACCAACACCTGCAAGTCCCCCCCCACATCATCAGCAACAGCTACGATTTCAACAACACGCAGTGTCACCAACACCAGACACCCAAGTTTTATATATATTAGCGTTGAATTCAGATATCATTTATATTTTTCATTTTTCATTTTCTTTAATATAGGATCAATATTTCATATTTAAGTGTTTTATATTTTATATTTTCTAAATAATAAAGTGTTTATGTTTGTCAATTTTTGTTCTTTTTCTATGCATTAATTTTCCTGAGGAGGAGCCAGCCTTAGTAATACTGACTGAAGTTGTTACAGGGCTGAGTAAGCCTTCACAAGTGGCGACCTTGCCAGGATCAACTCGACTGAATCAAGATTCAACTCCATCTCGAATCTACCAGTGGAACTTCAACGCCGCATACACCAGACGGTTACCACCAGCCATGAGTAATCATTCTCTATGGTAGGACTACAGTACAGGTATTTAAAAGATTTGGTGATTGTTATAGTCTCAATTTATTGTAAGTCAAGTCAGGTAGGATATTATAGTTAATTCTACCACCTTTTTTCGAGCTTGAAACACTTTGGAGGATTAGACTCTAGGGACCCGAGATTTTCCAGTGACAATTTGTTTCATTGAGCTCTTTATTATATCAAGGGAACTGTCGTAGGACACTCTTGATTTATTGGTGAGAAGATTGGATGGTCAAGGGACCCTGTTCTACTTACTGTTTGCTCGGAGCCGGCATAGAACCCTTCGTTTTCATTAATACATATTGTTTAATTGAAGCAGGGATCTAGCCCTCTGGTTTATTTACAGTTTGAGTGGAGCAGGAATTGAACCCTCCGTTTTTTTATACCCGTTTCATTTTCCCCTGGTAGTTTAAGTTATTCTTGCAAATATGGAGGAATACCAGTTTTGGATGAATGCTGGAAGTTAGGAATCACAGGGAAAAATTTAGAATCTTTCATTAGTGCTAAAATCCAGGAAAGAATTGAAAAGGAGAGAGAGAGAATCGAAAGAGAAGAGGAAAAGGAGAGATTGAGAATCGAAAGAGAAGACAAAAAAGAGCATGATAGACTTGATCGTGAGGAGAGAGCTAAAGTACGTGAGGAACAAGTTAAATTAAGAGAACTTGAGGAAAGAGCAAAGGATAGAGAACGTGAGGAAAGAGCTAGAGAACGTGAGGAAATAGCTAGAGAACATGAGTTGAGAGAGAGAGAAAAGGATCGCGAGCTCGAAAAAGCTCGCCTTGAATTAGAGAATAAAAAGTTAACTTTCTCACAACAGCAATTAGAGGAAGGAGTAATGGAACAACGTGCAGCTAGTACACATATTCCAACACCTAATTTACCTCCCTTCACAGAGGGGGAAGACATAACTTCATACATTATCAGGTTTGAAAATACCGCTACCCTCTGTGAATGGCCTGCTGACACCTGGGCTATCAGGTTAGGAATGTTATTTTCTGGTACAGCTTTGAATATCTATGCAACTTTGTCGCAGGATATCATATGTAAT